GTGCTAACTACCTCTGCTCAGGAAAACACAGCGTTTGCTCCAGTGCTCCATCCACCTCGGGCCCCTCCATCCCTGTGTCCTGCCGGGGGCCCTTCGGGAACAGCCAGATGGAGCTTCTCAGGGGATGAGGGCACAGGGCACAGCTCCCGGGACACGCGGGGGTCGCAGGACCCGGGGCATCTCCATCCCGGGGGCTGCTCCGGGCCGCCCCCCCGGGGCCGCGATCCCGGGCGGCGGCGACATCCCGCCGCGTCCCACTAGATGGAGCGACAGACCCAGCCTGGAGCCGCCGCCGGGCGAGCCCCGCTCCCCCCCAGCCTCCCAGGTCCCAGCTGCGGGGTCCCCCGGTGCCCGGGGGGCTGCGAGGTTCGCCCCCACCCCAGCAGGAGCCAGTCCCGTCCCCGCATCTTCCCCCGGGAGCAAAAGGGCTGTGCCGGGGGAACAGCCCAGGGTGGGCTCGCACCTACCGCGGGTGCTCAGAGAGGCAGCCAAGGCATCGAGTAGATGCTTCGCCACGTGGGAGTGGGTTTTGCCCAGTGTTGTGAGCTGAAACTCTTCACTTGGCGCAGGGGGAGGAGAAGAGGTGATGGGAGAGCCCTGGGAAGGAAATGAACGAAGGAGAAGGGGATGAAAGGGAAACAGGGAGGGAATGGAATGGGGCCACGCTGATGAAGTAAATCCATGTTGCAGAGAAGTTCCCTTTTCTATCCACATGGCCCCATGATGGAGCACAGCAGGATGGAAACAACTGCCCTGTTTCAGGACGCAAAATGGAGCCAAGGTGCCACGGTAGCCCAGGGTACCAGTGGGGAGGTTAGAGCTGTCCCCTTCCCTGGCTCGACAGGAGACCAAGAGAGAAGGGCCAAGGATGAGGGAAAGGAAGGAGACTGGGAAGGGAAGAAACCATGGATGGAGCTGTCAGGGCTCTGGGAGATTCTCCAGGGCTCCAGCTCTACCTGTGAGCTGCAGGGCTGGAGAGGACACAGCCTACTTGGGAAGAAATGAGGAGGTCAGAGGATTTTGAGGCACTACTCCTAGTGCCAGAAAAGGAAGAATCAGAGCAGGAAGGAGGGAGGAAAGAAGAGGAAGAACTCAGTGCTCTATCTGCAGCCAGGACTGCCCCAGACCTGTAAGGCAGCTCCACTTTGCTATTTAAAACCTGTCCAGGGAGTGCTAATGAACCTGGCTAATGAGCACCAGCCTGGCTCACCCTCACCCCAAATCACCTTGCAGCTATGCAGAGCCCCTGGGGAAGGGGTTGTTTGTGTGATGTGGAGGGGATGTGGGTGTGCTACAGCCCACCTTGAGCAGGAGGAGACTTGGGCAGCTCTGGGGTGTACACCCCAGTGCCCAGGGACCCCCAGATGGCTGCTGCAGCCTGTGTGCTTCCCCTGGAGTAGCCCAATCCCAGATTGCATCATCACCACAGTTTTGCTGAATGTGCCATTCTTTCCCCTGCCCCAGCTTGTCTCCAAGGGACCTGAGCCTCCTCTGCTTCGCCCTTGCAATCCTGGGAAGAGGAGCATGGGCAAAGGCAAAGGCTGTGACCACAGAAGAGGTTCAGCAGAGACAGACGGAAACCTGGTGGCTGGCAGATCCCATCCTGTCCAAATAGACAGGGGGGCCAAGTGCCACCAGGGTCTGGACACACCTGATGTGTCCCAGCCCGGGGAGGGGCAGGTGGCAGTGATGATGCTACACTCCAGAAAGCCAAACTTCCCTGAGCTGCAGCCTGGACCAGGACTGATTTTAGGTACAAAAACCAGAGGATCTGGGACAAGGGTGTGATGTGTCTGACTTCAGCAGCACCAGCAGCCTCTCCTGTGCTGCAGGAGGTGCAGAGGCCTTGGGGTCTCTCCAGACTCCTCCACAACCCTCACAGCACTCCTGCCCAGCCCTGTGGGGTGTGGGGGCTGGCAGGAAGGAGCCCCTGTCCTTGCCCAGGGTGTGCATCTCACCTCACCACAGAGGAGAGCCAGGCAGTGCCAGGGCTGGCAGGCGCTGCAGTGGGAGCACAGCCAGGGGGTTATTAATAACCTGCTGAGTCAGGGGGGGCTCTTGGGTTTCAGGATCACAAGACACAGACGCCGAGCGGCTCAGATGGATCTCCCTCATTCCTACTTTTTACATTGACAGGAACAACTGCTAACCCAGCCTTGCTCTATCTGCAGGGCAGCCTGGCCCCATCCTGAAAGTCACTGCAAAGATACAGGATGAGGACTGGAGCTGCTACATCCCCAAAATACAAGAGCTGCCCTAAAGGAATTAAACAGAGGGCAGGGCTGAGACACACAGCGTTGATCAGCTGTGTTAGGAGATAGCAGCCATACCAGCCCTGTTCCCACCAGTATAAACAAACCACATCAGGGAGAGAAAAATGAGTACCACAGGCTTCCCATCCTGCTTCCCTGCAGAGTCCTCTCTGTAACCCCCAAAAATGCTGGGCCGGGCATGCTGCTCCTACCCAAAGGGATGGAGGCAAGGAGGTTGTGAGATGCAAAGAGAATTCGGAGAATCTTGCAGACACACACATTGTACTGTCTAATTCCAAGAGTTTTGCAGGAGGTGAAAAGCCTCAGGGCAGCTCTAGCAAGGGTGAGACAGGATCAGCTCTCCCAGCATTGTCCCATCCTGGCTGCCACAGGTCACCTGGGTTCCTCTTCAAGCTCTTGACATCATCATACAGACAGGCTGAGGTCTGCTCTGGGATGGCAACACCTTATGCACCACTATGGAAAAGTAGCCTGTGATGTGGAACAGATTAACTTTCAGATGCAGCAGCCCGTGGTAGCAGCGTGCATTGCAACCGAGCAGTTTCTGCAGCAAATACTGTGCAAGAGCAGCTGGAGTGGCAAAAGCCATCCCCAGGTCTGAGCCTGCCCCTCGGGGGTGCTGTCAGAGCAGTGGGGGGGCAGGGACCCCTCGCATGCACGTGAGCTCCCATCGCTCGCTGCTCTGTGTGCTGGGATCCAACTTCCCAGAGCTCTTTAGGGCCCTACAACACACAGGTGTGGGGTTGCTGCCCTGTGGTTTTGCCTGGCCCCACTCCCCTTTCCCCATCCTACCCATGGGAGTGCTGGAACACCCACTGGAAGGGAGAGCACCCCTGCTTTTGCTGGCAGTGTGCTCCAGGCTGGCAACATCTCCACCAGCTATTTTTTCACCCAGGACAGGACCAAAATTAGTCTGTCCCACCCCTCCCCAGCAGCTGTTACAGACATCACCCCGGCCACGCTGGTGTTCCCTGGCCCCTCTGCTGTCACAGTGCTCAAACCCCGGCGCCTGCAATTGCTGTTGCTGTAGCTGCCACTTGCAGTGGCTGAAATAAGTGAAGTGCTGAAGCTCTGCTGTGTCCCCAGAGAGGTCTCATTTGGTTGTATCAGGCTGTCTGAGCTGCTGAGCCCCGTTCATTTCAATTAGCCCGATAGCTCTCCAATCCTATTTACCTTTATGAATGTGTGAGCATCTCGCTGCTTCCCACAGCAGTGCAGATTAAAGGGTGAGTGAGGAATACATGCCATGTGATATCAGACAATACACCCATTTCGAGGCCGACCCACAGCAGTGTATTTCCTGCAGTGAGTAAACTGAGACACAGATAAAGCCGTATGGAAGGGACACCGAGCTGGGAGCAGCCTGCAGGGCTAACCCACAGATTAGCCACCAACCCAGTCTATGCCTTTTGGTTTTAAACAAAGCATTTTACCCTTCAGGCGATGCATCTTTTGGCAGATAAAAGATGCACTTCTTGGCAGAAAAGCCTGGAAAGGCTGTAGTCCCACAAGACTCCTTTTTGACTAGGTGCTCCCTCCCAGCAGGACCTGTCCTTAGGTCCATGTTCCTCACTTGGATTTTAACAATCATTTACCATCTCAACACATTCCAACACTTAAATAGGCTCCTTGAGAGGGAGAGATAAGGTATCAGCTTTCCTGTTCATCTTGCCAGTCTGTCTGCAGCAGATAAGCATGTTGGGCAGCAGGAAAAAGGTTATCTAGAAAGGAAGCTGAGCAACGGTTGCTGTTGTTGCAGGAGGCTTTGAAAAAAAGTCACCCCACCAGGAATCCCACAAGCCATACAAGCCCTTCCCGGCGGGACATGATTGATGGTTGGAGTCCAGCTGTGCCTTCCTCCCGGGGTGGGAGGCATCTTCCCATCCGGTGAGGGCAGAGCTGCCGAGGTCGTGCTCTCCCAGGGAAGGTCACACCAGAGGCAGGTGCCCAAAAACCTGTTGCTTTCCCTCTCTCCTGCCCTGCCCCTGCTCCGAGGAGCAGCAACTGCAGGGGTTTGGGTTGGTGTTCCTGCTGCCCCTTCAGCACATTTTGAATGCTTCTGGGCTGAGGAATCTGCAAGAGGGAACTTTTCTGCCCAAAGCTGAGGAACTGCTGTTCTGAGTTGTGCATGGGATCCCTGGAAATCAGCACTGATCTCTCACCCATCAGCAAGGAGCAACAATAGGAAAGAGTTTCTGAGAATTCCCAGCCTTTCTTAACCCAAGTATCACTTTGCTTTTGGGGATGGGAGAGGAGAAACAAGCCAATTTACCACCTAGTGAAAGATGTGCCTTTGTGATTTCATCTTCCCACCTGTACTTTGTTTGCTTGTTTGCAGATGTAGAAATTATCTCTGTCAGCTAGAAAAAACCCCAAACCAAACCACACCAAACAAACAAACAAACAAAACAAACAAAAAAACCCCAAAACAAAACAAAAAACCAACAAAACAAAACAAAACAAAAAAGAGAACAAAGAATAGAAAAAACAGCCATTTACAGTCAAATTCCCAGACCCTGCTTTCTTGTTATCACCCAGGGACAAAAGACCCCGGGTTACAGACCTGCTGGTTCAGGAAATGTTCTGAATCAGGGACTGCAGAACGATAACTGGAGCAAATCCTGCCAGGAAGTGCTCTGAATCCACTCAGCCACCTTCTCTTCCCTCTGGACGTGCCGCCTCCCTCCTGCCTTCCCACCCAAGACATCCTCACCGCATCCCTCCCCATGCTCCTCTATTTTGCTGATTCCCATTAATCTGTGTTTTATATAACCCCTGGCTTGTGCTGGACACAAAAGTGATGCATTACCATGCTATTAATACACAACCTAAGGTTTAGGATTTAGAGAACATAAAACTCCCTTTGCAGCCAGGGGATGCAATCCATGACAAACCAGCGCTGGCAGCTCCAAGGTGCAAATCCCAGTGGAGAGAGGGCATCAGCTCTGGGTGCAGTGGACCCACACCCAGATATCAGAGGCTGATTCCCTAATCACAACTGCTTTGAGTGTGTTTAAGTACTGCACAGCTCCTTGGCTGGAAGCAAACATCACCGAATGTCCAGGGCATTCTGGGCAAGTGTTTCGTGAACATCCATCACTGTAGCTCTCAGCTTCTGTTCCCACTGCTCTTATTTTAATTAATTTCTGCAGGTCCAACTTTCCAGCACTGATGGTCTTGCACAAGGCTGCTGGTCCTGGGAGAAGAGAGGAAGTGAGAGAGGGTCCCCTGGGCGAGGTTGTACTGAGGGGATGGGAACTCAGGGCGGGTTCTGGTGAGTGGAATCCAGCTGCACCTGTTTGAAATGCATTAGAAAAACCGGAGATATCCCTGTGCAAAGCCCACCCCATCCTTGGGAGAGGCTCAGAGGAACCACAGTGGAAAGGGAAGAGCACTGGCATTTCCAATGGCCCTGAGCCCACATGCTGGCCAGCAGCATTTGCCGCAGGGCTCCTACACGTGACCCCACTCACCCACTTGCTCTGGAGCCGCCTGGGTGCTCGAACCAATTTGTCCCAACACTGCAATTAGCAGTTCATCACGGCCAGGCTGTGAACAAAGCACTGTAATACCACCCAGCCTGCTAAGAACCAGGTATTTTCCAGGGGAAGCCCTGCTTTTGGGGGGGCTGGGGACCCCCCGGCCATTCAGCATCTTCTCCCTGCAGAGGGGCTTGCTTGGGCTCAGCTCAGCCTCGCTCAGGCTGCGAGAGGTTAATGGATTTCAAGCGACTCCTGTGATTAACTTTTCCTAAATCTCCAATTTTTTCGTGCTTTCTATTTTTATAAAAAAAAAAAAAAGGGAGGGAGGCGGTATTTACAAGGGATTTCACTCAAATAATGAAATAAATGTGATCAGCCGAGGGACCTTTAATCCGCTTTGACTCTTGCGTCCTGGGGAACGAAAGAGCACGAAGACCTTTGCTGCTCCGAGTCCCAGCGAGGCAGGGAGTGAAACAACCCCATCCCTGCCTGTCTGGAGGACAGAGCCCCAGCAACACCTTAAATCAAGCACTATATGCAGATATAGGCACATCAGCCAGGGACTCTGGGGTCAACACGAGAGAAAAACATTTGCAGCCAACGTGTCCATCCTGGGGTGAACTACAGCCACACCTGTGCTACCACAGGGAGACCTTGTGTAACAGCCTTCCTAATTCCCCCTGAATCCTCAAATCTGCCAACCTGCCCTCCCAGTCCATCCAACCCACACTGCCCCCCACATCAGCTGCCTCATCCTGGGAAGGACACGGATCCCAGGGACAGCACAGAGGACCCTCCATGACAGAGAGGGCAGCACAGCCCTGATGTGTGAAGGGGTTTGTCCCACCTTCCTTTCAGCACAACCCCAGCCACAAATGTACAAAACAGCTTGTTGGAAAAAAAACCCACCAGCTTAGGTTGAGGAGGGGAGAACTAAACCCCCCAGCCGTGATTCCCACATATGCCTGAAGATATAATCCAGATTTGCTACTTGCCCTGACCCTGGCACCCTTTTTTTTTTTTTTTATTTAATAAATTAAAATCTCTTTTTGCTGCTGAGCATAATCAGCATTAGGGTGAGGGGAGGAGGGGCCTTTCACTGTCTGCCAAAGAATCACAAACCAAATCACTGTCACCACAGCCTGGGACTCTCCCTGTGGCACTTTGGGAGTGCTGATGGCAGCAGCCCCCAACCCGTGGGGGTTGAGATCCCTTGGCTGATCACATTTATTTAATTATTGCCTCCTCTAAGGCACTTTCTTAATTAATCTGCTAGATGAACTGAAAGGCAGAAGATGCCATGGTCAGGGTTTGTTTGTTCCTCCTGGTTGGAAAGGTCTTGGCTTGGAAGGATCACTCCTCCCAGTCCTCATGCTGAGCCCTGCATAGCTGAATTTGGGGATCTAAAGGTTCAGGGAAAACACTCACATTCCTGGGCAATCCTGAGGGATTGCCAGTGTCCAGTGTCCTGCCCTGGCTCACCCAGGACAGATGGGGCCAAACCTCTGCGTGAGCATCAGCAGGAGCTCCAGGAGAGTGCAGAGCGAGGCATAAACATGCCTCAGCCACTGGCTTACATGTAACACATGCCTGCAAAACCCACTGGTGTTTTCTCAGAGCCACTGCTAAATCCAAGGTCAGTGGAGAGCAGAGCCAGGTGATGCTCCAGCACATTACACAGAAGGCCACATTCTGACAGTGCTGCTGGGGCTGAGACCCAGCCCTATCCCTCTGACACCTTCTGAGGGGGGAGAAAACCCTCCTCAGACCACAGAGCTTTATGGACAGGCAAGCTGCACCCATGCTCCTCCTCACAAGCAGCAACCAAGGGCTGAAAGGCAGATGGCATCCGCACAGTTCTAGAGCCCAAAGACCGGAGTGACTGTCCTTTCCCTCACACTGCTGTGCCCTTCTTGCCTCTGATCTGGCCCTGGATATCTGTGAGTGCAGCACTGGGCATGGAATCCCTCCCCACGCTGCCTCCTGGCTCCCCCAGCACAGCCCAAGGTCATGTCACTGGGACTGAAAGCTGAGGACAGTCACCGCAGGTTGTACCTTGTCAGTGGCAGAGCCGAGTTGTTCCATCACTGCTCCCCACATGCCCCTGCCCACACAGTTGTGTCCCAGAGGGGCTGGGCTGGGGGACTCCTGCCTCCCTCCTGGAGGTGATATGTAGCCCAGCCACAGCCTGTCCTGCTTATTGGGTGACAGGGACTGGCAGGGACAGGGGACACGGTGCCTGCCATCCCTCGCTGTTGCTATAGAGACAGAAGCTGCTTTTCTCCACAGAAACACTGGTTGTTTCTGAGTGGTACCTTCGGCATGGCAGCAGCTGGAGAGAGGGACATGGGATGGCTTGCCTTGCTGGGAGGGCAGCCATGGCCAAGGCAAGGCTCTGCCAGGTCTTTCCCAGTGCCTCTGTGCCCAGATCTACACTCACCTTGTGGGATCTCTCCCCAGACCCTCCCTGCAGCAAGAACGGAGCACTGGGATCCCCCACTCTGGGCACTGAAGTGCTGGGGGAGAAAAGGGACACAGGCTACAGGAAGGCTGAGGAGGAAAACTCCCCAGAGAAACTCTGTGTGGGAGAAAGTCTCATACTGTGAATCCCAACTTACCCCCCTGGATCACTGCAACTCACCTCTCTCTGCTCTCCTGCCTTGCTTTGCAACCACGTGCTGGGGTGAGACCAGCTCAGCTGATCTAACCCACCATGGCAGTTTCTCCAGGCCACGCTCTCCTGATTACACCAGCAAGGACCAGGATAACTCCTCCAAAGCCATGCTGCCATCCTGGATATACCAGGAGAAGATAACATAAGTGCAAGAAAACCCTAACCCAGCAACATGCCTGTAGATTCATCCAGCCTATTTGCAAAGGCTCAGTAAATCCTGGAAATACAAAGTCAGAGCTTCCCACAAAGCCATCAGGGCAAAGTCCTCCCCTGTTCCCTATCCCTTCAGGAACCCACCATCTCCAGCTACACATAGGTGCGTCACACACCATCAGAGCCCAGTGACGTGCCTCCATCCTTCCTGGGGGTGAGGATAAACTCTGCCAAGTGCAACAATGCCTGGAGGGAAGAAAAATCACCACAGCTCACTTCTTCACATAAATCTTCGCAGGAGAAGGATATTGGCAAGGAAAAGCCCTGAGGGAGGGAGGCACATCTCTGCTCCCACCCGCGGCAGCAGGAGGGGAGCTGGGCAGCACCCACCACCCCCTGCTGCTGCACCAACCTCCAGGGAGAGCCACTGAGACCCTGAGCTCTCCCCTTTCCTGAAAAAAACGCAGTGACAGCCCTTCCCAAGGGACAGCCCATCCGTGAGCTCCGTGGGAGGCTCGTCTTCAAAGGACATGGTCGCCTTCCTTACCACGCTTCTGCTCCAGCCTCGGAGCCGGCAGCGCGGGAAGTCGGCAGCTCCCAGGGCTCTGTGCTGACATCCCAGCTGGAGACGCATGCCAGGGATAGATTATCTGGTTTGCTTCTTTTCATATTAATCATCAAAGAGTAACAAATGTCAGCAGCTTGCAGCAGTCATTATCTGAATGTCTTCTTCTCACCAGCTCCTGTAGGAAGCTCCTCAACATGCAGGGAGAAATGACAGCGCCAGATCCAGCTGGTTGCTCCCTGGCCTTCCAAGCCAGGTGCATTTTGCTCACTTGGGATAGACAGGAGGGCAGGGATGACAGGATCCCTCCATTCTGCAGGATTTGTCCCATCAAGGAAGGTGCTGAGTCTGGTGGTTTCCATCACCTGCCAAACATCAAACTCTCTTCTAAAGACAGAGAAACCACAGAAAACTGGCACATTCTGTTCAAAACATGGGATTTTCTTATGACAGGCATGAGGCTGGATCCATTTCAGAGACACCCCGTTGAGCATGGCCATCACCTGGGTAAGGATCCACCAGGTTTCAAGGCAGACACTTGTCAATAATGGGAAGGAGCAGCACCATGCCTGGGCATCAAACTCTATAAGTGATCTCTGGTTCACAAACAACAATTAGCTCAGGTTTGCAATCAAGGAAGGTCAGGAGTGCTCTCCTCATTTCATACAGGGTAAGACACAGAAATGTTCAGAATTAACCCCAGTAGGAGGGTTACAGCCAAGCGAGCAGAGGCAGGCACGAGGGCAGCCCTGCCTCCCTGCCCTCAGCTCACTGACACTGCTGAGTGTACCAGAAACCAGAAACAGGCACTGCTGTACCAGGCTTACCTTGGAAATTCCCATCTACCACAGCATTTGGCATAATGATAAAATCATGGCTGTGAAGAGAAAGAAAAAGACCTTTTTCTGCACATCAAGACCTGCTTTGTAAAATGACCACGACAGCACAATGTCTATTCATCCATACCAGGATGAAAGTGGGCAACTTGCCTGTGTCCCTTACCAGACCAAAAACTCCCCCAGACCCTCACAGAGCAGATTTTCCTTTAGTGAGCACCCATCCAGGTCCACTCTACCCAGTGCAAACCCTGTGAGCCATCACTTGCACCCCCTCAGTCAGCAAGACTGTAGGACCTGCTCCTCACTGAGTGTGTATCTCAGAGCCACAGCAGGGTGGGTTTGTCCCTTCCCTCACGATAAGAACCAAACAGGGCAGGATTTTTATGATTATTTATTATCTGTAAAGGGCCAGCATTGCCTGTCCTGACTCTGTAGAAGACACAACTGCTGGGCTTACAAAAAGAAAAAAGCACAGTGGCCAAAATCATTTAGCCTCAAAAAAAGTTAATGAATGTGTTCTCAGGAAGCTCTCAGGCACTGCCCATCCTGAGGACATACCAAGGTGCCAGTGTGAACCACCTAAAGTAGGCAGACATGGAGCTCATTTCTCTCACCCGCAAAGCTTAATTAGCTTGCTGTCCAAACACAGCTTGAGAATATGGCCAAAACACAGGTATGGCCCTCGATTGCTAAAACCCAATCCATTGCAAGAAACTTTTTTTTTTTTTTAAAGTGGGGAAGCAACATTAAAAAACACCACTACTCATGGAAGTTACAACTACTTCCAACAAACAACATGTAGAAAATACTGGGAGGGAGACTCTCAAAGTATCTGCTAGTTTCCAGTGGAAAGGCGTCAAGTCCCCCACGTTCACCAGATGGATATCAACATCTGACACGTGTTGGAAGACATCCATATCAACTCCACCAGCCTGAACTGCAAGTAGCCAAAAACAAAGCCGGAGAGGACATCTGTGATGTGGTGCCGTCCGATCATGACACGGGAAAACCCCACACAGAAGGCCCAGAGGACCAGCAGGATGCGGAGGGGGATGGCCAAGACCAGGTGGTTGAGGAAGAACTTGGAGAGCATGGCCACTCTGCTGGCGTGCCCGGCTGGGAAGGCGTAGGTGTCCATGGTCAGGTAGTCCAACAAGCCAGGGTTGATGTCGTACGGGCCCCTCCGCTTGGCCAGCTTCTGCAAACCAGCCACAATCATGATGTCCAGCAGCAGGGCTACAGAATGAGAGAATAAGAGGGAATGGTCAGAGACAGAAGAAATCCAGGGCTATTTTCAAGGCAGAACCTCCAAGGTTCTGTTGTCTTTAAAGAAAAGGTTTGGGTTCGGTTCCGACCAGATGTCCACAGTTCAGCTGCACACAACCTCCCCCATCCTCAGTTACCACCCAGATGTTGGTTAACCCTCCCAGTTCACTCACAGAAAAGGCAATTACCAGTATCATCATCTGACAGAGGAGAAACCCAAACCGCAGAGCAAGCAATCCGCCTGGGGAGGAAGGGAGCAACTGGCAAAGCTAAAATTAAAACTCTTTTGGCCTTCAAACCACCACTCAGGGTGTTCCTCTTGCTGTCCTCCACCCCATGCTACAGGAACCTCATGTAGCAAGGCCCCTGCCTGGGGGCCTCTGTGCCAGGGTGACCAGGCTGCTGGAGGAAAAGTGCCCCACAGCACTTTCTGGCGTTGTCCCTTGTCCTCTCCCAAGCCCACCACATCCCCCTGCCCTGAGCCAGCCAGCAGAATGACACCACACTCACAGATTTCACTAAGAGCATTAGGAGCCAGTGAGCCAAGGGGAAAGCCATGCAATAAAGAAAAAAGGGCTCCTGCATTAGAAACAGCACCACTGCAAGTTGAAGCAGAGGGTGGGCAACGTCCTCCTGGATGTCCCCCACCCATCCCTTTCCCTTTGCTGAAGTGCCGAACACCCACTTCTTGTTTCAACTTGTCTTTTGCTCCCTGTGGCTTTCTCCCTGCAAGTCACCCCACACACTCCCTTCCCTGCACAAACGTGGTGGGGGAAACACCTCCCAGCCCCAGCAAACCCAAGCTTGTAGTGGCACAGGGACCATCCCTCCAGCTGCAGCTCTCAACACTAAAACACCTCTCTTCCCTAACAGCTTTGGGAGTGAAACCCATCAGCACTCGTCTCCATCCTCCTCCTCTTCATCCCACCTCCTTCTTCCCAGCCGACAGGTACTGTCATTTCTATTTCCTAGCATCAATTTTATTTTTCTTTAATCCCCTCATCTGCTTTTCCCCAACCCTCCTAATTAGTCAGAGTGCTGGTTTCAGCTCCTCGCAGCAGTGACAAGGACATACATGCCATCACAAGCACAGCCTGCTCCCCTGGCAGGAGCGTGAGGGGCCAGTTGCCTGATCCCCAGGCTGTGACAAAGACCATTCCTTGAGAGCTGACAAGGTTTCAGGAGGATGGATGGGAGTGCGGCGGCGGTGGGGATGGGAAATGAGACAGCACAGGGGAGGAAGGCAGCTCCTCCTGCCTGCTCAGCACCTGGCAGGAGCTGGGAAGTGAGGAGCTGTCACGATGGCTCTGCTCACCCACCTCCCACAACATCCCACCCCTGCGCACCAGCCCCTGGCACTGCTTTGGGAAGGGGCTGGTATTTATCCTGGCCAAACTCTCGCCTCATGGGAGACTACTTTTCTTCCTTGTCTGCAGGGCACCTTGCTTGGGGAAGTGGGACAGCAGGACCTCCCGCCCACCAGGTCATGCCCTGGGCTCTCAGAGCTGTGGAGGGCAGATGGAGCAGAGGAAGAGGTCTGGACACCAGCTCCTTGCTGGCACAGGCAGCAGTGGGAATCCAAGCTAAACACAACAAGAAGCAGGAGGCTGAAAGTTTCATAGGTGGCACCTGAAACAAGGTGGGGAGGCTGCAGGTGGCAAGGGGCTGCAAGGTCACACCTCCAAGCCCTGTATTGGTAGGGATGGGCTTAGGAGGACAAGGACAACAAGGGGCTGCTCAGATCCCACCAGGCATGACCAGCAGGAAGGGAGAGAGCAGGGGTAGGCCTGCAGCCCGTGGGGACCCCAGCACTCAGCAGAGCAGTTCTCTGCATTTTGCTGATTTTTTTTTTAAGGGCACCCTGAAGGATCCCAGTGTCTCCTCCATGGTGTTCAATACACCCACTACAGACCATTCCCCTCCAAACCCACCCGTGGATCAGCAGCACAGATGCTGTGTCCTTTAGCAACGTGTGGTGTTCACCATTGTCTGTCTGTATTTTGCACTGACAATATTTTTTTTACGGTCAAAGGTGATGTCAGGGCAACTCGAGGGATGCAGGCATGTGTGCACGGAGGTGTTCAGGGCATGGAGAACAAGCCAAAGAGCTGTTTTAATAATCCTTTCATTCAGAAGATGAATAAAATGGGCCTTCAGTACTGCTAGGTTTGATTTTCGTCAAATGATGCACAGAAAGCAAAAAGCCTCGTTTGCCCACATTTCAAGATCTGAAGGCACGACAGCACTAAAACCGGGGGTTAATTTGCCGTTAAAAGAAAAAAAACACAGCAAAGATCCCTCTGCCTGGTGCTTTTTCTGTCACTTCCCCCTGCACTTTCTGTTCCTTTCATGAAGCAACTTCTTTATGAAACAGCCCCAGCAGCCTGCCCTGCCCCAGCCCCTGCGGGTCCCACTGCCCTCACCCGGAGCTGGGTCCCCACGGTGCCCCTGCCCTCTCCTGCTCCTGCTGCTGCTGCTGGGCAAGAGCTGGCAGGGTGAATCAGCAGGCAGCACTGCTGCTGACGGTGCTGCCAAGGGCCCATCCTTCAGAAACAGATAAAGATGATACCATTGCCCAGCAGCCCCGGCCCTACTCCCTTGCAATCCCATGACCTACATACCCGCTTGGACCTCGTCTCGCTTGCTTTGTCCCCTTAATGCACATCAAATCCTCCCTCCTCAGGTGGGCACATCCGTGCCAGTGATAGGCAGGTAAGGGGTTAATTGATTACAGGTTCCCTCCACGACTCCAGCTGCAGATGGGTGTCTCTGCACAGGGGAAGGTGCCTGATGGCTACCAAAGCTTTGAACCCAAAGCCCCTGAGCCCACCTGCAAACCGGCACCGTCACCTTCAGCCTGCCCTTCCCTGGTCCCTCACACAGAGCTGTGCAAATCCTTCAGGCTGACCTGACTGAAGGCTGGAGGAAATACAGCCCCGGGAGAGCCCTGGGAAGGGAGCCTGCAGCTGATGTACCA